AAAATTAAAAATACATGATCCAGCAACCCCACTCCCAGGTATTTATCCAAAAAAATTAAAAATCAGGATTTTGAAGAGCTATTAGCTCTCTCATGTTCACTACACCACTATTCACGGTAGTCAAGATGTGGAAGCAACCTAATCCACTGACAGGTGAATGGGTAGAGAAAAGGTAGTATATACAGGTGACCCTTGAACAACACAGGTTTGAACTGTGTGGGTCCATTTATTTGCAGATTTTTTTCAATAATATATTAGACATATTTTTTGGAGATTTGCAACAATTTGCAAAAAGGCACAGATGAACCATGGTGCCTAGCTGTATCACATTAATGTTTCCAGGACTGTATTATGAATATGACTGTACTGTATGCCATAAAAATTTTATAACAATTCATTCATTAATGTAATGCTAGGCTACCTGGAAGTTATCATTATTAATTACACAAGGCCACTGTGAAGCAACTATATTGATTATACTAGGTTACCATACAGCAATCGTATTGCTGCTGTTATCAATGCATGAATTATTCCTATAAAGAAATTTGAATTTCTTTTCACATTACCTTTTCATTTTTTATGTCTAGTGTTAGTAATACGTATTACATCTACAGTATTTTGTATTATGTAAGACAATACTGATACAGGTCCCCACAGATAATTCATCTTATAAACAGAGAACATAAACTTATGGTATCGACTGTATTTTCTTTTCTTTATAATTTTCTGAATAACATTTTCTTTAGCCAACTTTAAGGGTACAGTATAGAATACAGGTAACAGGGGCGCCTGGGTGGCTCAGTGGGTTAAGCCGCTGCCTTCGGCTCAGGTCATGATCTCAGGGTCCTGGGATCGAGTTCCGCATCGGGCTCTCTGCTCAGCAGGGAGCCTGCTTCCCTCTCTCTCTCTCTCTGCCTGCCTCTCCATCTACTTGTGATCTCTCTCTGTCAAATAAATAAATAAAATCTTTAAAAAAAAATACAGGTAACATACAAAATAGGTGTCAACTGTTTATGTTATTGGTGAGCCTTCCAGTTAACAGGAGGCTTTTACTAGTTAGGTTTTGGAGAAGTCAAAAGTTACACACAAACTTTTGACTGTGTGGGGGTCAGTGTTCCGAACCCCCATGTTCTTCAAGAGTCAACTGTATACATACGATGGAATACTATTCAGCCTTTAAAAAGGAAATTCTGTAATACACAGAAACATGGATAAACCTTGAGAGCATTAGGCTAGGTAAAACAAACTAGTCACAAAAAGCCAAATACTGGGTGATGTGTCTAAAATAGTCTAATTCATAGACTCAGAGGGGAATGGTGATTGCCAGTGGCTGGGGGTGGGGACAGGAGGAAATGGGAATTTATTCAACAAGTATAAAATCTCAGTTAAGCAAGATGAAAAAAATTCTAGAGATCTGCTATACAACACTGTAACTATAGTCAACAATAACATATTACACACTTAAAAATTGGTTAAGCGGGCAGATCTCATGTTAAGGGTTCTTACCACAATACATCAACAGTCAGGCAGAAAAACCGAGGCAACGAGAGCAGAGAAAGGTCTTACTGAGTTTAAGGAGAAAGCTTCAAAGGAGTTCATGTTGCTGTCAAGTCATGTAAGGTAAAAACTGAAGAGTACACTCTACCTGGCTACAGTATGAGCTCAGATGACTGTCCTGGGTCATTTCTGGAGTGACACAAGGAGTCAGACACTAGTGGCGTAAAGGGTAGATGGGAAATGGAAAACAGAAGTAGTTAGTTGAGCGTAGATCACCTTCAAGGGCTTTGCTGACACACAAAGAGGATTACCTTGCTGTGCTACTTTGTGATATAATAAACTTTCCATCCATTCTCTATGAAAGATTTACCAGGGATTAAGAGTTTGTTTACTCCTAAAATAAACCAAAAAATGCTGGAAGACAAGGCAAAAGGAACCTAAGGTGATTCATTACATTTTTGTAAGACGAAAGAGAGGTATTCAATGGACAGTGTTATCAAATGTTCACAGTTGGCCAAACAGAAACAATTATGAGTTCGTTAGACCATAAAGGGAATGCTCACATGACACACAGGCTTGGTTGTCTTCTCCAGACAGTATCACCAGTAACCTGACAGCTGACTGGATATTTAGCCCAAACTCATCACTTGTTTGCGAAATTCGACGGTAAAGAAGCCAAAAAAAAAAAAGCCTCACCCAGGAGGGAACTTCTGGTCTCTTCTAACAGGAAATGTCTGAGAAAAGCAGAAAGTCCACCACAAGAACAGCGCTGTGATTTTCAAACTGCATGGGAGTGCCATACTTATTTGAAAACAATTTAATACCATTATCCCTATCCATACTTCTGTAAGGAACAAAAATGAATATTGTAACTTTTCTTTTGTGCTTTTACCTAACCTACTTTGATAGGAAGACTATTTGAGAGGTACCTCAAAAAGATCTTGAGAAGCAAGGGACCGGCGTTTTGAACCAATTTCAATGTAAATGTCAATTGCGAGTTAAAAAAGAGAGAGTAAAACCCTTTAAGGAAACATTATCTGAAGCAGAGCTGTCCTAAGATAATGCACACAAACCAACATAGTCTATTTAATAAAAAATATTTAATGCTGCCAAAAAGTATAAAAATACAGTAGGAATGGCAGTACAATACAAAGTAGTCTTCCTAATTTATTTCTTTTACATCTTTCTACATTTCATACACGTATTAAAAAACTTAACAATACATCAAATTAGAGGATTCTGCAAAGTCGTCTGCTGGTGGTGCTCTTCGTTCCCTGGATGTAAAGTTTACTTTGTAAACAGACAAATGTGAGGCAATCTACAGGTTTATCAAGCCTCACTTTAGTCTCCGGAGTGGGCTTCAGGTCTTGCTTTGCACATCAATGGTTCAAAATTTATAGCTGCAGAATATTCTCAAGTCATGAACATTTAGGTGTCTGTCAATCTTGGCCTAAAACATAAAAAAGAAGTCATCTATTCAATTCATATTTACCAAACACACAGACATACATAGATACACACAAACATAAAAGGACTAACGATGAACTAAAAAGGCAACTAAAAAAACATTCCAACACGTCACATTCAACCACACTAAGTGCTTCACTGTGATCTTGGTAAAATCTACTTCTGTGCTAAATTTTCGAACAGAATAGGTGGCGTGAGGCAGACTCATGTTAAAGCACCATAACTCATATGGCTTTTTTCAAGAATTACTATGAGCTTCTCAGGTCATCCTGTATCACTTAAGAAATGACCTCCATGGGAGATATCGACAGACAGACAGGTTTTAAAAAAATGTACCCACAACAGTTTTGCAAGATTATATGGTATGTGCTAGACTTACCAATACTTTGGAATTCAATGCAAAAGTCTAATCCAATTTGGACCTCCACTGTATCATACTGCTAAAAATATTAGGAATGTAATGTTTGAACAGAAAGTTGGCTTAAGTCTTTAAATCACGGACTGTTAGCAGCATGCATTTTGTGTCCTGAAGGATAATACTAATGATTATAGCAATACAGAACCAAAGTGACAGGATTTAAGTTATTAATATAAAGAAAAACACAGACATAAAATAATTGACAGATTTATTGTATCTGAATGTCAAAAAGTAAAGATTAACGAGAACTTAAGCAACAGATGGATGAAATAGCTATTTTAAGGTCAGTTTTTGAATGTATTTCATAATATTCGCAGTAACTGAATTTTTGAGATGGTATTTCCTTCCTGACTTCACTCACTAGGACCAAAAACCCCCAAATCTAAATACTTGTCATTATTGTGTCTCCACATATATAAATAGGAATATAAACCACATCCACACATTTCCCCAAAACATTTAGTCAAAAATCCTCAAAATATTGTCAATTGGGCTTCTTCCTGACTACTGACTCTTCCTACTGAGAACACCAAGGCCCTGGTGTTCTGAATAGCCCTATTATTCTATTGTCCAGCAGGGACACAGAAATGTCAAGTCATCAAGAAAACATTCTCGGGGTGCCTGGGTGGCTCAGTGGGTTAAAGCCTCTGCCTTCGGCTCGGGTCACGATCCCAGGGTCCTGGGATCGAGCCCCGCATCGGGCTCTCTGCTCAGCAGGGAGCCTGCTTCCTCCCCTCTCTCTGCCTGACTCTCTGCCTACTTGTGATCTCTGTCAAATAAATAAATAAAATCTTAAAAAAGAAAAGAAAACATTCTCATTGGATGTCTGGAAGTCACAAAACCTTCTATGGGTGCTTACTGCAGGGTCCTACTGAACCCTGTACCTTAGTGGATGGAAGTAAGGAAAGGTGCTTCTTACTGACTGCTGCAAAATATATTATGATTTCCCACACATTCAGGAAATCTGCTCATCAGAACAAAGTAGCTCAATTCAATCATGCTAGGTGAAATGAAATAATGGTTTGGTTTACAGAATATCCTGATGTCCAGTATTTCTCTGACTCAGTGGCAGTTCAAACAGTTTTCACAAATTTTTTTGGAAGTAAAAACTTAGATTTGCTTCACTTAAAAAATAAAAAAAGCGTTACTTTGGATTTTAACAGGTAAAACTGGTTGTCTCATTTTTTCCATTTATGTATTTGAATATTCCATAAAAAACAGAGTATGTGTCATAATGGAAGCAGCGTGACGTTTGGAGTTACTGGAATTCTACAGACAGGAGTCTGAATTTCAGCTCTCGTGTACTAGCTGTGCAATCAGGGGCAAGTTACTTATTCTCAATTTGACTTGGCCTTCTTATCTTAAAATAGGGTAATGTATCTAGAAAAGGTGTTAAGAAGATTACATTCAGATTATGTATTTAAGCTGTCAGAAATGCATGTTTCCAACATATACTGTTGTTTTCCCTGGCACAGTGCTAGAGATTCACTTACTCAGGATAAACTACTGTGCATCACAACAACTAAAAGAATCTGATAGTGTTTTTAAAAATTCACTCTTTTTTAGTTTGAAAATATTATTTGGGGGGGGAATAAGAAAATAAGATAAAATCATGGGGAGTGTTCACTGTTTTTAAAAAATGTATTTATTTGCAAGACGAAAGACAAACGGGATTTACACCTGGAAGAAGTATGTTCACTTGAATCATTTGTTCAACGTATCAAAATAAAACGGATTCAAAGAAATTAAGTGGAATAAAGAGCCATGTTTGCCGCTCTCTCTGGAGAAGCTGCCTGCATATACTGCCCACTGCCCTTGCTCTGGAACGGAGCCAGCTTTACAGACAGAATGATCTTCCCAAGTCAGCTCTACACCTGAAATAATAGAAAGTCAAACTGCACCCAGACTAGTCCTTGCCACCGATACTCATACTATTTTTTTTTTTTTTTACTGAAAAGAATCATAAAACCTCCTGTAAAGTTTGCCTTATAGACAAAACAAACATCTAGTTTCCCTCTCTTGAATTTACCAAACTCACAGTAACTTGTTTTTTTATGGTAGTAATTTGAAATACCAACACCACCATGTCTACAAAATCTGTCTAATTAGAGCAACAATAAAGAATTGAGGCTTTTAAGAAATGGTCTCCATATAAATTCCCATGCAATTCTCCTTACAGCTCCCCAAAATACACTATGTAATGAAAAACCAGACAGTACTGGACTCCATAAGTAAGGTCGCCACTATATCCTATAATTTCCATAGTCCACTGTACATTATAAAACCAAAACAGAAAGAGTTCCAAAGACTGAACTTTTCATTCTCCCAGTGGACTTCACAGAGATCGTCAGAGCTCTTGAAAACCTCTTGTCAGGTTGTCACTGATAAAGACAAAAGCCTTTCAACCCAAGTAAAAGCTTCTCGTCTGATGCACCACTTCCACTCAGCAATGCTCTGTGATGGAATAAATGACAGTGAGGAAAAAAATTCTCCCCAAAGAAGTTTCCAGAATTTAGTAGCCAAAGGAGATAACCACTTCTCTGAAGAGTGTTGAGGAAAAGCACCTGTGCAGAACTGGCTGTTCTTGGAGGAATCTGAATGGGGTAAATATCGAGAAAATTCCTGCTGGTAAGGGAAAAATGAGATGTCCAAACTCATACCATGTTCCCAGAAGTCTGTTCTTTCAAACACTACCCAAGAAAATGAGTACCTTAAAAATTCTAAATTCAAAGCTTAAATAGTCAAATCTGGGTGAACCATGAAATGACTATATTATGGCGAGTACGTGGAAAATAGCCTAAAGTGTGCACGATCTGGACTGGGGATTCCCGGGTAGAGCAGGTGCTACGCAGCTTACACAACCTGAGTTTCTTCCCATGAAGGCGTGTCGTCACTTATATGTAACATATCCCATGGAACGAGAGAGAGCTGGAAGTTCTAAAATAGTCATTTTCTCTTGCAGAGGCTGGTGGTGATAATGTCCTATAAATAGTGGTTTGAAAATGAGTGTAAGAAGAAATGGAATCAAATCCAAACAAATGAACTAGGGAAAAAGATGAAAGGGACAGGTCAACTCCAGAATAAATCAGCCAGGGAATGAGCAAGACCTGCATATGAAGTCAGGAGAACTTAGTACTGTCATGTGGAAGAATATTACCTTCAAAATTTTATTTGTAAGATTCTGTGCCCCGAGCCTCTGAATAAGTCAAGGCCAAATTAAAGGTTTCTTAAAGTAAGAGAGACTTAATTAGCTCCTGACGTAGAAATAGGAACTATTTCTACTAAATGCATTTAGTACAAATTAGTACAAATGCGTTGAACTAAATGCATTTAGTTTGACCAGGATCACTGCACCAAGTTGGACCTCGGCTTCCCCCACCCTGGGCGGCAACAGATTCCAAGAGTCACACCCTTGCTCCTTACCACCCACCCCCCTAACAAACCCACATGGACCGCTGGACAAAAAATAAATCAGTGTTTACAGCAGGTGTGCTTCCTAGGCTTCTGCCTGAACTCAGGAAAAAGCGGATGATACACATAATGGCATTAGGCTTATGACAGACTAGATTAAAATAAAACCTCTGTTAAGTTTTGTGTCTGAAGGTAAAATTAAGGCAGACTAGATTTTAAAATCTGCACAATAACCAGGCAGGCACTTCGGAGACGTAGGTACTTGTTGAAATAGAGTACACAAAGGTTAATGACAATTTCTAATTTAATCAGCTTCTGGCCTGTGGCTATTTACATAGAATCTAGTCAGACGTATTTTTCTAAGAGGGAAATGACTTGCAGAGCATTAAGTCTTTCTTTGAGAATAATCTAATTCTACAATAGACCACATATAGGAGACTTCTCAATGACAGAAGCATAAAACACTGTAGAAATGTCCAGCCTCAGGCTCATTATGGCTTAAGAATAACAACACCTACCTCAAAAGCTTGTTGTACGGATTAAACAGGGTAATCTATGAGAGTGCTCATTAACACAGGGCCTGGCACATAGTAAATGATCAATAAATGGTAACCACCACTACTGTGAATTGACACTGAAAGCAAAGGACTTGATATAAGAAGTAGAGGACTGCTCCGTATCATAAACTACTTTTCAAACCAATACATGTTTTTTTGATTCATACCATCAATTCTAGTTTATTTAAAATGAAGGGGACAAGCATAAGTATACATAAAATTAAGAGTTACAGTTCCTTCTTACACATACCTGTAAAGCAGAGCTATTTAGAAAAAAAAAACACTTTATTTCCTTTCTCTTGTTCATTTCTTGGTAAAAATATTAATACACAGTCAGTATTCATTTGAAGATAGAATAGGAAAAGGACAAAGCACATATATAAAATACCCCTAAACATGAGGAATGATCTTTATATTATTCTAAAGTTCTCTATACATTTTTTACACATTACTTTTTTTTAGCCATGTAAGAATTCAAGAAAAGGTATTATTTTTATTTTATATATGGATAAGCTGAACAATGGAGCATTGTATTCGTACATGTTGTATATATGCAAGCACAGACGAAAACTGCTAACAGACCAGCATAAAATACTTAGCTAACCTCAGAGACAAGTGCACAACCAGCTGGTATAGCCAGAGAAGATGGCACTAAATCAAAGACTGCTGTCGGTTTATCAGGAGACAGATGTGAACACGAATACACTATTTATTGATATAAATACCCTTTCTTAAAAATAATAAAGCCTCTGGCTTTTAAAAAAAATCTGTTCTTCCTTAACCTATTCAAAAAATAATACTGCCTCATTAAAATCAAACTACACAATTGACTTTTAAAATTATTATATTTAGAAAACATTAGGAAGACCTAAGCATACACAAATTTTGTAAAATGTAGAATCTATCGTGGATTGCTCACTTTGTCCTCTGGCTGTTACCTGAGAAGGCAGGAGCCCTTGTCTGTGGCCTTCCTCGTTTAATAAAGGGTCAGGATGATGACCCCGGGCACCACACCACATTGCCATGTATTTTTAATAATTAGTATATGGAACCCACCAAAAATATTATTAGTGGTAAAAACTCAACATTATCCTTCAGGATCTGTTTGAAAGGTTGAAAGAGGCGTAACACTTGCAGAAGTTTATCAACAAATGTTTACTTCACTGAATATGACTGTTCGGATATATTACAACAAACACCACTTGAAGGACAGAAAGCAGACAAAAAGCAAAGCTAAAATCCTAAATCCAGTGAAGCACATTTACCTTGCAAAGGGGCAATGTGCATCACTAACCAGCATTTGTTTCCTGTAAGAAGTCTTTCCCTTTTTAAGACAAGGCTATCCTCAATTGGCAATTTAGTATGATCTATCCATATTTGACTTGCAGACTAATACACTGTACTTTAGCAAATATAAACCAAGGCAAATTAGAAAGGTTTGAAACCAATAATGACGGGTCCTGGTACCTGAACACAGGTTTAATGCAGACAGACATTGGGGAAAAAAAAAAAGTCCCTCTTACCTCCTCTCCATTTAAAGGTTACAGGACAGAGTAATACTGAATTAGGACACAGGCACAAGTTATGCAAATCTGATTTAATATGTAGTACCACCTACATCCTGCTTTCAGGCTTTCAGCATAATTTAACACATTCAAGAAGGCTACTCATATCAATTCAAAATACCTATCTATACAAATGGTTTTCAAACTGTTTTTAAAATTGTAACCGTCCCCTTAAAATGTTTACACCTCAACAGAGATCATACGTAGCATATAAAATAGATAAAGCATAGACGGGCTGGTTGAAAGTAAAGGCTGGTAGCTTGGAGCCCTTCCAACCACCTCTCAGAGACCTCTCAGAAATCCAATGAGCATAGCTTGAAAACCACTGAAATAATGTGATTTTATTATATCAGCAATTAAATTTATAACAACTATTTAAAGTTTAAGTTAAATAAGTCAAACACTGAATGGAATGTTGGGATCTGAAGAAGGCTAGCACTCAAATGAGCAGTTAAGTTCATCAAACAATATGTTTTAAATTAAAATACCCATTAAGAAGTTAAAGGGACAAGGTCAGGTTTGTACATCATCATACTATTTATTGAAGTAGAAAGAACTTGAAAATTTTTACTTCAAAACTTCAGTCTAGTAAACTGAAATCACGGATAATAAAATGCTGCTCCTTATTTTTATTTCCTAAGTCAAGATTTGCCCCAATTATAAATTAGGGTAATTACACTGAAATTTTCATGAAAATTAAACAGTATTCATCATGGGCTTTACAGAAACCAATTTCTTTACAAAGTTTTGACCAAATGTTACCTGACTATGCCATTAAGGAGAATTTTCCTTCAAAGATATTTTTAGGGAAAATTTTTGTTTGTTTTTCTTTTTAAAATTGGGGAAACTGTAAAACATCAAAGAAATGCAAATATATAGTAAAAATTGCTTATTCAGAGTTAGTTCTAACTGCTCGTATCAAACTTCTCTTTAGGAAAATGTATTCAGTACAATTGATTCAACACACAATTTATTTTTTCATGGTAACAGATTTCTCAAATTGAGTTTTTAAAAAGTACATTTAACTACAAAAGTAAGATTAAATACTTATAAAATATATTTACCCTGAAATGGTTAAGAATATAAAATGTCGATGCCCATGTCAACAGTACATTATACATTACACGCATTATTTCAAGTTCATCTTCTTTCCAGTAATAATGTAGATAAAACCACAATATTTATTGCTTGTATCAAGTGCAGGTTAAAATCCAGAGAGCCTCCAAAAACAAATCCTTGTGGTAAAGGATTTCTCGGTCTGGTCAGGTGAAATAGTACGCTTAACGTGTATGAATTCAGTTGCAAAATGTACCAGTTTTCAACAAGCATTCAAGTCTTTATTTCAGATAGCCGTTTACAGTTTGGGGACAATGCCCTGAGATGTTGGGCTGGGGACTGAATAGATCACTTGTCTGGTTGGTGTCTATTCTTACCGCACTGTTTCTGGGGTGCGAGGAGCTTGCTAACAGACAGACCCTTGTGACTAATGCAACACTGTCAGCTACTAGCGCAGCAGCTCGCTGGGCAGAACAGCTTGTTTATAGGACATTCTGCTGAAACAACAGTGTCCAGCCAACAAAAGCACCCACCAAAATGAATGACACAAACCCCATCTTAGTGAGAATAGGTTGCCAATATAACCACCTTTTCCTTTTTCGTTCAGTCTCATTTAGCCTCTGTTTCATCTGCTGCACCTTCTGGGCCGTGTTAGCTTTTCTGTCTTCTCGAATTCGTTTCCGTAGAACACTAGGAAAAAATTAAAACAAATAAAAGTGCATGGCAGGACTTATTATTCTAATACAGAGGACCGAAGCCCAAACACCCGCCTCCTCCCCAAGCCCCATATTTTTAAATACTGGAATAAAACAAGAGGCGGGATTTTCAATATTCTAAGTGGTCCAGAGATGTACTCTGATCATTCAGCAACAACTTTTGGTACAACATTCTATTAATAAATACTTTCAGCAGGACTTGAAAACAAGCACGTTGGTTTCTTTGTTGAGATGGGAGCTGGTGGTTGTCAGCTTGCTTCCTTGCTAACCGGCTGGAGGAGGTGAGGGACAGGAGTCCCTGATAGCCGAGCCCCTTTCGTGTTTACATGTGATTTGTCTCAAAGGCCACTGGTAAAAGCTATCTACTTAATACTTCTGTCAAGATTCTACTGTGGAACGCCTATTGCTCTGACTGTCCACACTTATTTCTGGCTTCCATTTTCCTATTCAATACAAAATGTTTGTTCTAATGGAAGCTCACCGACTCCCAAGACACAGGGTCCTAGGACATGGTAAAGAAGAATGGCCAATGACAACATGTACATTACTATTTCTTCCCTTTAAAAAAATTTCACAAAACCCACATACTCTTCTCACTTATTGCCTCCAGTATAGCAAAAACCCAACTTGTGCCTCTGATTTAACCATTATCACCACAGCAATTTTTCTAAAGTACAGCTCTCTGGTTTTGTAGCTTGGTTAAAAATCTTGAATGCCTTTCCAGTATACTACATTAAGAGCCAACTTTCCTTCCAGCCAGAATGTTTCACCTGAATCTAGTAATGAGAAGCAATCAGAGGAATCCAGATTGTGGAGTGTTCTAAAAGGCAACTGGTATAGCAGCTGCAAAAATGTCAAGGTCAAGGTAAGGAAAAATTAGAAAGAGGTGAACAATTTCAGATTAACGGAGACTAAAGAATCACATCTACCAAATACAATGCATTATCCTTGACTAGATCTTGGATTATTTCTTTAAATAGCTAAAGAGATTGGGATCATGAAAATATTCTGAAATTAGATCATGGTGATGGGTTCGTAACTGTAAATATAGTAAATCCACTGACGCGTATGCTTTAAATGAGTGAACTTTATAGTACATAAATTATATCTCAAGTAAAGTCATTTTTTTAAAAGTTTTTTAAATTTATTTACTTGACAGACAAAGATCACAAGTAGGCAGAGAGGCAGGCAGAGAGAGAGGAGAAAGCAGGCTCCCTGCCGAGCAGAGAGCCCAATGTGGGGCTCGATCCCAAGACCCTAAGATCATGACCTGAGCTGAAGGCAGAGGCTTTAACCCACTGAGCCACCCAGGTGCCTCTAAAGGCATTTTTTTAAAAAGCTATAAGGCAGATTTCTTACACAACCAAAGAAATTTGAATACAGACTATATCTTAGGTAATTTTATCAATGTTCAACTTCTTTTACAGGAACCTTCAGACACGGCTGGTGGAAATGTACAATGATGCAGCCGCTATGTAAAACTGGCACGTCCTCAAAATGCGAAATGTAGGGTTCCCTTAACTCCCAGCAAATGCGCTCATAGGTACATACTCAAGAGAACTGAAAACATATGTTCACACAAAAACCATCCAGAGTTCTCCTGCTGTGCACAACTTCGTTCTTGCCCAAATGATTTTTTGCTTTTCTCCAAATCTGTTACCCTCAACTAGAAATCTCTCTGGTCCTCTCAGTTCAATTCTGTCCTCCAATTTCTCCCTCTACTCAACCCCTGCAGCCCCTCTGTTCTTATCTTACAGCATTTAATTTACAGTAAATAATTTATGTTGCTAATCTGGGTTCTTATTTTACCCCCTAAATATATCTGCAACTCAGGGACTGTGATTTCCAACCTCTTCTTCACTTTACCTATCATATACCCAGGTGTCTTTGGCTGTCTGAACTCTCTTGAATATTTGCTAAAAAATTATTACTCAGAATTCACTCTTTGCAATTAAAATTCACTACTAGCAAATACATGTGTACCCATCAGTGAAAAAATTTTAAATTGTATTCAAGTGCAGGCAAAGCATATATAAAATATGTAAAAGAATACAGAGCTCCCATCCAAGGGGCCAGCCTTCCACGGGTCCTTATATTTGCTTCTGTCAGGAGCCTGAGGCCACAAAACAACCAGGTTCCAATTTAGATGGAATCTTTAACAGATTATTTCATTTAAAATTTTCATTGCAATATAGAAGATAATTACAATTTTTATTCAGTGTTGATATTTTACCACATAAACCCAGTGAGTTCACTGAGTGTTATATGATTTTACATAATTAGTACTTTACATGTTATACAGCAGTTTAAGAGGATTTTTTGAGGATTTTTATGTTTAGAGAAATGGGTTATGGTTTTGTTTGGACTGAGAACACAGTTTTTCCCATTTGAAATCATTAATGGAATAGAGGCTCCTGCTTTCCGAAAATGGACTGTACATATGTTTTCAGATGGAAAGAAAACAAATACCAAAAGATGTCATCACTCAGTTTAAGAAAGCAATTCCAAAGAAGTAAAAACTGGTCTCAATTTGTGATACAATAAAATCTTTATTTACCTAGTTGGGCCCAAGGAAATTACCTCTATGTAATAACCTGCCCAGGTTTTCCTACAGTCAAGAATTCTAAAGCCATAAATTGGCAGGGGAGGACTCCTGCCTATGGAAGACCACGTGGAATTCCTTACAGCAGGCTGTAGCTGACCCATGTTTCAACAGACATGCTTCACACTCTGCAAGCACACAGAAGGGATCCAAATAACCTGACTTCTCATTTATCCAAACTGTTCTCCACTCAGTGATCTGGGTTTATGGATTGTACTGTAATTGAGAATGCTGGCTTTTAAACTTTGATGGTAAACCTTAACAGCTAGAAATATCTTACCATCACAACAAAGTAACTGCACACACGGACACATTTATACATATACACAATATACATGTCAATATGTAGAATTCATATATTATGTCTACATATATAAAAGTTAAAATAGTTACTATTGGTGATACTCTGATCTGTTTTATTCTCTAATTTAAATGCTAATTTTTATTTTATTGTATTCTGTTATTTTAAAAATGCTTTTTTCATAACTTACTAAACTGATTTCATGACCATGGGAATGTGACCTTCAATATGAAAAAACTGACTTGAAGGATATTTAATAATGAAAGAAAATAAAATATTGTGTCCTACTCCCTTGAAACTGAAATTCTTTCAGTAAGATTTCGATTTATTAGCTTCCCTAATGCAAAGCTATACATCAGTATTAAAATTTATTAGGACTGAACAATACAGCATTTCACAGCAATCTTTATGCTCTTTCTACGACCTACTCCCTCAATTAGTTCTCTCTGCTTACAATCCCTAGTTTCCTACAGGGACTTTGTCTCTGCTTTCAAGCATGATTGGTCTCCTCTCTTCTGGGGGCAGACAGCAAACAATACATACACATACCACCTCCTCACCCCTCAGGATACCACCTCTGCAATCACTATTTAACACCTGAGTGGTTTTCTTGATCTCCTCAAAACTGTGAAATTGGACAATGCGTGGTTTACCTTGTTGGGTCTGTATCCTTAAAGATTAAAACTCAACACCTCTGAAATACTAAGAACACCAATTCAATCATCAAGCCTACTTTCCATTTAATTCTGCCCATTACCGAAACAAAACAACAACATTAGGAACCTGAGAATCTTATTGCTGAAAAAGATATGGTAATTTAAAACATGATTTCTTGATTTCAAAGCATTATACTTAAGGTGAAAGAAGGAATAAGCAATTAATGGTTTAACTTGTAGTCTAAAACCACTAGAGCCATAAGGAGTAACACTGCTAAGTCATAATAAACTCTTCAGTGTAATACAGGATAACATATACACTATGTCTTTATTGTAATGTTACCTTTCATAAGATTTCAAGTAATTTTTTTAAAAAGATTTTATTTATTTATTTGTCAGAGAGAGAAAGTGAGAGAGAGGGTGGGGGGAGAGCACACAAGCAGAGGGAGCAGCAGGCAGAGGGAGACACAGGCTCCCTGCTGGACAGGGAGCCTGATGCAGGGGTGTTCATCATGTTCTCAGCCTAATGGACTGAGCCACCCAGGCAATTTTTATATTGGGGAAACAGAGAAGTGAAGCTACTATAATATAAAGGAGACCTCAACGATTCTCATGGTGCCCCAATATCCCAGTGTAACAAACAGGACTAAAACATACAATGTACCACTTAAATAAAAAGCATTTTTGACAGAGAGAAAATATCAAGAGGGGCCGTGAACATGCTCATTCACTCACACCTCAGGATACCAGCTTCCTACTGGGTGGGAGATAACCAGAGCCTTAGAAATGTAAAGGTTTCAATTTATTTTATTTTTATTTTTTTAAAGATTTTATTTATTTATTTGACAGGCAGAGATCACAAGTAGGCAGAGGCAGACACACAGAGAGAGAGGTGGAAGCAGGCTCCCTGCTGAACAGAGAGCCCGACACGGGGCTTGATCCCAGGAGATCATGACCTGAACCGAAGGCAGAGGCTTTAACCCACTGAGCCACCCAGGCGCCCCTAAAGGTTTCAATTTAAAAACTTAAAATGTTCACATTTATATGGATTCAAAACTCAAAAAGTATAAAAAGGCAATTTTTTTTGAAAAAGACTTCTCCCCTCCCAATAATGTAATGAAGTTTAAACACTCATTTAAATATTTGGTAATTTCATTAAAGGCGCATTACCCATTACATGGCAACTACAGCATGAACACTAATACTTGTATAAATGGCAGGTATTCATACCACTTATTTTCTGTTTCGTACTATACATTTTAGCATCTAATTATGTTAACTTTAGCACTCAAAACAGTATTGAGTTAAACCATTTTCCAACTGGTTTCTGCCTATAAGCACTGGCTTCTTAATAGGGTTAAAAGCTCTTTGAGATCAATGATGTCATCATATACTACTTAAATATCCTTAGGTAATAAATAAATGAAAAGCTACATTAATTCAATAAACAAAGGGCCTGTATTAGTTCATATCCACTGAACTTACTAAAATAAGACAGTCTCATCTTTTCAAGCATGTTATTGCCATAAGCTTACCTCTCGCTGTTCTCCTCCGCAGTACCCTGCATTTTAGAGGATAGTCCTGTGTATCTGTCACCTGTCAGTTTTTCTTCTTCTAGGCCTATCCTATTACCATTGTATTTTTCAGTCATTATTTTGGTTGGTGAATGATCAAAAGCAGGACATAAGTCTTCCTTAGAAAGTTCTTTCCACCGTTTCTAGGTAGGGAAGAGAAGTGAAAAACAAATGCAAACACTAAAAGTTTACTTTTCTTTAAATAAAAAGGATATACAAATTGAAATTATATATTCAACCTTAAGAGAACCCTGTGATGCTAACAGAAGAATGAAAAAGGTATCTTACCAAAACCTCTTCTAGATGTGCCTATTTTAAATTTAAAATGTAAAAATAATAAAGTATTAATTTTATTTTTTTATTTTAAATTATAAAATAATTTTATTATTTTATTAATACATTAATATTTATGTATAACACTAGGCAGTTGAATATAATAATCTTAATGAAATTAAAGCGGACTTTAACCTATTGAGACAAACTATACTAGGACCTCACAAAAATATTAGTCATAGTTAGTGAGATTTTAGCCAGCGCCAGATTCTGCCGGACTCGTAACCCACAGGTATGTTAACACTGGAAACAGTGACCAAGATGCCCTTGAATGTGATCTAGCATCTCCTTGTTCCTTGCCAGTCTGGTCTAACAGAGGAACAACCGTGAGATCTCCAGGCAGTTCTCTGACACCAGAGGACCGTAATTTGTTTTCTTCCAGCTATGCTAGTAGCTCCAGGTAAGTCAGCCCACCACCAGGTTAGACAAAACTCTGAGAGCATGCCTAGACTTGAGGCGGCAGGATTTAGACCAAGATCAAGAGAAATTCCATTTCCTTCCTCTAGGAAACAGGCTGTCATCACCTACCTTGACAGCCTATTGTGACTAATGACATAATATGTCTAGCATCACGTCTGGCAAATGTTAGATTCTTTTGCCCTCACTGCACCATCCCTAGGGAGAGAGGAAGAGGTGCAAAGTATATCTGGGCCCCTGAAAGCTGAAGGCAGTCACAAAGTGCTAGCCAGGGAGTGAGAAGGCAAGTATACCCTCGGCATGAGGGACCTGTAGCTCCTCAAGTCCTTCAAGGGCTGCAAACACAACCATGCATCTCTAAGCCAGGGACAAGAGTAGGAGTGGTGGCAATAAGAGCCAACAGTTTTGATTATCTAGGACTCTGACACAGGTCAAAATGACCTTGTGGGGACAGGGGTGGTCCCTCTTTGAAGATCTTACCACAGAAGCAAGGAGCCTGGAACCTAATAAATAAGAGACTATAACTTCTTGCCTGAGGATTTTAAAAATTTTGAACACAGATGTAACAATGCAACTCACACTTGTCTGGAACTTAATGGAACACTCTTTCCCTGGAGCTGCTTTGGTACAAAATGGCATTGTTTAAAACAACGCTTGTGTACTGAGATCATTTAAAAAAAAATCTTTGGAAAACTTATGGGTACACTGATAAATTAGTTTCTACTTATTTCATCTTCCTACAATAGAGGAATTAAAGAAAAAGGCATTTTTACCACACTCCACCTTCCCCATATGCAGCTATTTAATTAAGATGCATAATTAACATATCTTTTTAATAGTAGTTGATTGAAAAAAATTTCAAGAATGCAAAATTCTGTAATTTGCTACATTTGCAGGGCAGTGAGTAGGAAAGTTTGGTCAATGTGACTAGAAGATGAAGAATATGTAGAGCCTGACTCTGAGAGCTAAGGCCAGAAAGGAAGTGGACCTTGAGGAAAGACGTCTCTGAACTGATTTTAAGAATCACTGGGATGGAACCCACCACTCCTGAGCAAGGACCTAAGAGGCCACAAACCATACCCAGAAAGAGTGTCTTGCCAATACTTGAGAAATTGCTATAACCGAACCTAAAAGTAAGAGGCTTTCACTTCAGAGGACTATGTCAGTTTTCTTTCTTCCCATTTAACATTTCTGTTACTCAGTCCAGACAGCATTTTGTATACTGAAGATGCACGTGGGGCAACTTGTCAAGCACTGACTACAGCCACACTGACCTAATGCTGCAGCTGCACCAGCTCTTAATCCTCAGAAGAACCTCAGGAGATAGGTGCTACTACTGTTACTATCATCATCCCCCTTCTATGGAGGAGCTGGGGTGAGAGAACAGAAGTGACTTGCCCGGGATAGGCAGCTAATGAACAGAAAGGACAAAATTTTAATGCTATCATCCCTTATGGTTATTTGTATCTCTGAAAAACTTATCAATTTCCGATACAAGATAGTTTAAGAAAGTACCCAATAAAAATTGCTCAACTGTCCAGAATTTAGGCTGTTTGATTTTTTTTGATTCTTCCCTGGGGGCCTAGTCATAACAACCTGACCTTAATATTTGGACAAAACTCAACAATGTCAATAAACGAAAGACAATGACAAAACTCAAACCTTACTGGACCACTTTCCAGAATCTGCAACAAATTTGGAATCTGTCAACAAGAAAAGGACTCAACAAAAGGGGCAAGGGGTGGGGTGGAGAGAAGGAGATATTTAATGCTAGTAAATTTAAACAAACAAACAAAAGGCAGCGTCATTTTGCCTTGTCTCCAGGCAGCAAACTCACTCGACTTTGCCTTCCCTGTAGCCCGCAAGCAAGCAAGTACTTCGAAGTCGCCTGCCTTGGCTTGTCACTGCCGCCTGGGGAAGCCAAAGAATTAGTACTGCACTCCGCTGCAACTTCATTCACGCTGTCCTCCTGAGGCCTGGAGTACAGGCATCTGGACTGAGAGTTTCTTATCTTCCCAAATCTACACTCACGCTGCACCATACTCCCGCCTGTCACGGGCTGCTATGAGCAACACCCCAAGCGCCACCTGCAACCCCATCCACTTCTCACTGAAGAAAGTCCCTCAAAGGAGCACTTGAAGTGATGTCATTAAACTTGAAACCCACTCTAAGTACTTTGACAGTAGCATGAAATTACCAGCGGCAGATCTTAAAACACCAATTCTGAATTGCCAATAGAGATATGTTACTCTGAGGTTTTCTGGAATCATGGATACTGGGAGTGTGCTAGTAAGTGATACGACCAAGAACTATGATGTCTTTTTATGCCCAACCTTGTGCCAAGAAAGATGTGAGGTAAAGGATATATTTATTCTCAGAGACAACCAGAAGTTATCTGTATTTATCCAGGTAGGTCAAGATCATTGGAAATTTCCAAAAATAAATACATGCTGTGTGATTATAAATGCATATGTGTATTAACGGATTTCAGAAACAATAGCTTTCGAGGTGAATATTAACAGCGCTCCTGTACCCTGGCAGGTTCTAAATCACTTTGTATCTCCATAGGTCAGAAATCGTCACAGAAAAATTAACATAAAACTGTATCCAATAAGGAAAATACCACTCATGTAATATAAATCCAAATGAAGACTGAAGGTGAAGACAGTTGTCCCCTTTAGGAAAAAGTACCAGAAACAAAGAAACAAGGCTTGGGGGCGGCTGAACACACAGTTCTCTGAAGACATGCAGGTTCAGGAAGCATCAGCACCTACAAGCCCGGCCAGTGTTCACACCAGAAAGAAGATTCCTTCTTTCATCTTACGAATATTTCTTTCCCCAAAATTCAGAGGTAAAGAAGAGGAGGTAGACATATGGAGAGAAAGAAGAGTCTTTTTATAAATTGGCTATCCTACCCCTGTATGCCAAAAGAGATACTTTTATGAGTCAGTTATATTCATGCAGTTTGAGGCACTGACATTAATTTTGGATCTTATGATTTAGGATTTCAGAGAACTTTACTTCTCTTAGATTTTTATTTTAAGCTAAGATTCTAGAACAGTATTGTCCAGTGAAATGTAATGGGAGTGGCATATGCAATTTTCAAATGTCTAGTAGTTGTGTTTAAAAAAAGATGAATTTTAACAATGTTTTATTTAACTCAATATAAATATTGCCATTTGAACATATAATTAATATTTTAAAAATTACTGAGATATTTTATACTTTATCTCCCTGTATTTCATCTTCAAAATCCGGTATGTGTTTTTTTTTTTAATTTAAAGATTTTATTTATTTATTTGACAGAGATCACAAGTAGGCAGAGAGGCAGGCAGAGAGAGACGTGGAAGCAGACTCCCTGCCGAACAGAGAGCCCGATGTGGGACTCGATCCCAGGACCCTGGAACCATGACCCGAGCCGAAGGCAGAGGCTTTAACCCACTGAGCCACTCAGGTGCCCCCGGTATGTGTTTTATACTTTAAGCAGATCTCGATTCAGACTAGCCAAATTTCAAGTACTCAGTAGCATGTCTGGTTAATGGCTTCAGTACTGGATAGCAAAGTTCCAGGCAGAGAAAATTATCCAGGTAAAACAAATCCATATTCGTTTACTCATTAATTATCCTTATAATAAAAAAAATTATAGCACCACATAAACTGCAGGAACCCTTAGACCATTTCTGTGGAAACTGACCCCTTCAAACGGGTAATAGGCTTTTCTGATCCTGAGTACCTACCTGAAAAATACAGAGATGCTGCCAACATCCTACCTGAAGAAGGGGCAGAGAATGCCTTGGGTTTGCATGGAATACTAGATGAAGCTACATGGAGAATGTGATGGCTATAACGTACCAGATAAACTGAAACAAACAAACAAAAAATTCTCCCAAACCACAAACTACACCGTTATAATAATAATAAAAACCACAATAAATTATGTTCATAAAATTCACCTCTGTAGTGAAAAAGATCCTCAAAGTAAGTCAGTATATATTCTGAAACTAAGGAAACGTGAACAAGTTTTAAAGTGGAGGGAGGGAGACTATCCAAAGGACAGCACATTTTCCCCACAATTAGTCTGTAAGAATGACCAGGAAATAAGCAATGAACAACTAGGGAAGCTACAAGTGCATGAAAAAAGTTTGGTTTAACTATTTAACATTTTTCCAATCAACTCCAAACTGGAGAGAAGTTCACAGAGATTATAAAAAAAAGAGAGAGAGAGAGAGAGAATGAGAGAGACACACACACACACACATTTTCCTAATCTTAAAACATCTGAGATAATTTTTACTTCTTCTGACTCACTGTTCACTGCCAAGCAAACCAAGTGTTCCCAAAGTCTGACTTCTGAAGAAGGGTCTCATGTTTTGTGGGCCTAATCTACACGCTGAGTATTTTATGGACGGGTGCAATGTTACTCTTCATTAGAGATTTACTCCTGTTTCTTGGTTTGCCTATTTTTTTTTCTCCTTTACTTATTTGTTTCTTAAATTCCACATATGAATGAAGTCATATTGTATCTGTCTTTCTCTGACTTACTTCGCTTAGCATTATACTCTCTAGCTCCATCCATCTTGTTGCAAATGGCAAGATTATAAGCCTTCAAAATTTTACTAATAGTTTGTCTTGAATAGTTAAAATAATACGAATGATCAGAACAAAAGTTAGCTGAGAAACAAAATTGCTTAAGAATATTTTAATGCCTTTGAAATCTATACAACACTTAACTTATATTTAATTCCATTACCACAGATGGTCTGAGTTATTAAAAAAAGCCTTATGCAGAATATTTGTCTTGCCTCACAGATATTAAAGAGCCAGTATATATGTTCATAAGAGAAACAAAGAGTTTTTGTCTACTTACGTCCAATACTATGTGACCAGATAGGACAATAAATGTTACTTTTGTTTCTATTTTATATTTTATGTTAGTACATAACAGATTTCAGATAACCAGTCTTTGAACCTAGTTTTTGCAAATGTGGAATAAAAATGTTTTCATGAAAGCACAGCCAGCAAGCAGAGAAACATAACTTTCTACTGGAACTTCATTACATCTGCCAAAAGTACTCGAGCTGTTCACTGTTAACAAAAGTAAAGCATCTATTACATAAACTAAGTGCTCTGTAATTGCAGATCAAACTTTTAATGTGCTGAAATTACCAAAATTCTCTGGTTTACTTTAATGCTTAAACTAACTTCCTTATATGAAAATTCCACTTTAATAAAATCTTGTTCCCACTAGGGCTTTTGAGTAACAGGAAAGATTTAACATGAAGCTGAGGTATATATGAGGACATGAGCTTAAACTTTACAATTTTAAGATGGCCAGCTGGGTTTTCCACATGAATGGAAATATGCTTTTTGGAAGGAAGGGAGAAAACAAGTGCTTCAGTGGAGTATAGCCGTTATTTGATGCTAATCATATATAATACACAGGTATTATTTATTTCCCTAAAAAAGTTTACCTGTATATTTGAATCTCCCTTTATAAATTTTCCTCCTTCTATTATAGTCATATATGAAAATCTGAGTTGATCTGGTGTCTGAATAAGTCCCATTCGATATTTCCTCATATTCAGTAACAGTTGTTTAATGTTAATATCATCTCCTTTTTCCATCTGCAAGAAAGGTAAAAATTATTCAAGGCTTTTGTTGTTAAAGAGTCCAGGAAAGAGAAGCAATACAGGACAGCTAGCTGCTAAGCATTCTGCAGTGTGCAGTGGGTCTCCCCAAAAACAAAAAGGTAGCACTGCAGCTGTAACTCTTTCTGTACAGAACAGCTACCCCAACCAACCACCTTTCCCACACCCCAACTGTTCAAGCAGTAGATGGAGGCCTTTAACTGATACACAACTGATTCCAAACCAATCACAGTAATCTTATTTACTCTGGCCAGTGTTTGTCTAAGGAAGAACTTAGGAACAGTTTCAGCTTAATGTAAAGATAAATCCAATGAGATTAGTGTTTTGTTTTTTTTTTTTTTTAAAGATCTTGACAGAAGTAAATCTTTTTTGCCCAGTGTCCTTCTGCCTTCATGTCTGTGTCCATAAGCCATCTAAAGATGGTGGAGAAGGAAGACAAGAAGAGCCTAAGTCCACAAGGACACTGTTAAGTCCCTGTACCAGCTCCGGACTATCGATCCCATATTTTAAGCAGCATAACCCTCGGCCCCGCTGAAAAAGAATAAAGTGGAAGTTCTGTCAGGGAATAGGCACAAACACACAACCCAGTTTTTAATAGTCATTCACCAGTAAGTGTATAGACAGTAGAATATTTTGTTAAACGTGTTAAAGTTCACTTTAATGTAACAATCAGTTTAAGATTTTATTTTATCTGAGCATGAGAGAGTGTGAGCGTGGGGCAGGAGGGGCAGAGGGAGACAGAGAGAATCTCAAGCGGACCGCACTGAGTGCACCACCGAGATCATGACCTGAGCCGAAACCAAGTCAGACGCCTGACTGACTGAGCCATCCAGGTGCCCCAACCCAGTTTTCTTTTAAACTTTTTTAATTTTAATTTTAATTTTAAATTAAGTATGCTCTAAGCCTGACATGGTGCTTCAACTCATGACTCCAAGATCAAGAGCTGCATGCTCTACCGACGAAGCCATCCAGGCACCCTGTAACAATCCAGTTTTTGATTGAAGTGTGTATTACTTACAGGCAGAGTAGTGAAGCAATACAGTAGATGTACGAACATTCAACCCTTCCTGCGCTCCAGAGATGCCCTATGCCCCAAATAAGGAAAAAAATGGACATGCTAAAAAGAAAAGGCATGTGCCTGTATCCAGGCTGGGCTGGGAATGGGTTGGTGGACAAAGAGTACAGCCCTTTGGGGGTAGAGATTGGAATCTCAGGGGAATAATAATACCAACATTTACTGAGTGCTTAGAAAATACCAGGGACCCAAGTGTTCCAAATGTATTAATTCATTTAATTCTTGCCACAGACCCGTGAGGAAAATTGTATCATTATCCTTAGTTTGTAAATAAGGAAACTCCGCGCAAGAGAAATGTTGTTTGAGCTGGAAGGAATTCAATATTTTATGTCAATTTGTATTTGAAAAACAAGGAAGGGGAAAGACTTATTATTTCTGTAATATAAAGCTATCAGGGGGGAAATAAAAGTCTTCTTGGAGATCTCTAGAATCATCTTGGATAGAGCTCCACCACTCACAAACAAGAGGCAGTTTTTAAAAGGGTATAAGTGAAATTTTTTTAGGTTTTTCTGAAAAAGGCAGAAGTTTAAGTTTTGAAAATCACAGTTCTGGGATATTGACATTAAAGCTTACTTCTGCCAAGGAAAACAATAAAAAATTAAACAAGACTAAAATTAGATCATCAGCAGCACTTACCAGAACAAGACAGGTATCTACTAGAGAAAAGGTGCCTGACCGCCCAATGCCCGCGCTGCAGTGGATCACTGCAGGCCCGTGTTCAGGATTCAAGGAACCAGACTCTCTCACTTTAAATAAGAAATTGAGAAATGAAGCTGGTGATTCAGGGACTCCAAAATCTGGCCAGGTAGTATAATGAAAGTGAGATATTGTTCTGGTTTCACCACTCTAAAAAAGTGAAAATCAAGGGAAAAGTTAGTTCTAATTTCTTTTTGTTGAAAAAAACTACTATGTGTTTTGTGTTAATGTTTTTAATACCGTGATTTTTCTGTTTGGTTTTTGATAATCATTCATACAAGTCGGGAGTTCTTCAGGAGAATTTGGAATTTATTAATGATAGTATTTCTAAAACATTATTTTGCAGGCATGTCCTAAGCTTTTTAGGTATTAAGTCAACCCCTACAACGGTCCTAATAAAACCCCTTTTCCAGATGAGATAACAGAGGCAAAAGGTTAAGTAATTTACCCAAGGTGACACATTAAGAAATGGAAGAGCCTGAATTTGAAACTGCAGTCTGGGCTCTTAACCACCAACCAACACCATACGTGTTGCCAATATTTTAATTCATACATCATGAGGAGTATTCCTTTTTCTTTTCTATAAAAAAAAAACAACAAACCCTACCAGTATAATTTTACATTCTTTAATGGTTTCCCTTTTAAGAATGCCCAACATTTTTAGATCTAATTTTTCTCATTATATGAGTTATCTTGTAGATTGTGCTACACAGGCTCAGAGGAGCAACTCAAGAATTAATTTAAAGAAATAATCTTTACATTTTTAATTGAAATTGTTCTTCTAACTGCTGCTCTTCCCCATGGTAATAATTTCCAATCCCAAAACTGTTTATAGGATTTAGCTGATGTGCTAAAATGGTTTACCAATAAGCTCTGTGCTTCCTGTCTCTTCAAGCCTGCCTGGCATTCACTATCACTTCCTGGATCTTCCTGATGAGCTTTATTTCTGACTAACTCATTATGAAAATGTTCCTAAGCTTTTGCCAGCTGCCTTCTGCCCCATGAAGCACTTTAGTGCCTTCCAGTCTTCATTTTTGTAAACCGAAGCAGTAACTCTCTAACATATCTGAACAATTTCTCAGTTTCACTGCAGGATGTTTATGGAGAGAGAAGCCATACAAGCAACATTAGGGGAAAAAACAACCACCACCACACGATAATTTTAATGGTTAACAGCTAAAGATTATTATTATAGTATCCTGCTTTTGGTACAAGTTTTCAGAATTAATATTCATGTTATAAAAAAAAAAATTTCCCCCTTTTTCAGTAGAAATGAAGACTCCTAAGTCCCAGAATGGTTATACAAGGTATAACACTCATTAAATACAGTGTAGAAATTCTTTTAAAAATTTCAAATTACATACTTTCAGTGACTAATTTTCTTAAAATTCAGCTTCCATAATTCCAAATACACTCTGATCCATAGGCTCTCAGTACACTGACAGTAGTAGAAGACAGAAATCTATTACTAATTAAAATGATCATTGGGATTCCTAAATTTCAAAACATTTCCTTTTAAAATTATAGCTTATTGTATGTAAAAAAGGGGGGGGAGTTAAATTTACTGTATTAAAAAAAGGTATCGAAAAAATTCCAAATTAAGAAGGCTAATCTTCAGTTTCTTCTTACAGAGCCATAAATAGACACCTAACAACACAATACCAGCACAGAAATGGGCTAAAGTGGCTGTTCCTGCCATAGCCCAGGGGCATGGAGAACTCAAAGCTACATCTTCCTTTAAATGGGGTCTAAGAGTCCAGTGGGTGTGCTTACCCCTTATTTCCAGCCCTCCCCACCTCCCCCCACCCCAACACACACTGCCAGGCTGTGGTCATCCACTACGCTGACCTCACAAAGCAGGGCCAGATTCTGCCATGTGAGCCTAAACCAGGTCCAGTGTGGACCTGCTGGAGCTACCTGGTCTGAGCGGTGGTGCCAGAACCTGGCTCACCTGTGAGCTGTGCTCTGCAAGGTACAGTTTCCGACACAGCTGTATACACACTTATGCTACTTACTGCATCACCTCTGGCTTAAAACCTACAGTCAACCCACAATCCTGAGCAACTGCTTGCTTTTTTTTCCACTTGTATGATTTTGGCTCAAGACTAGCAGTCTCTTGATTTTTTTCAAATTCAGGTCACGCTGTCTGGGATACTCAAAGCCAGTTCCCAGAAATGTTCACGACTGTTTGTATAATGCAGTCTTCCCCACTAATAGATTTTTGAGAATCAGTCTTTTTTCTTCCCCTAACAGGACCAGTCTAAAGAACTTCTTAAGAAGTTAATTTTTACTAATGTATCCCTGCTGAAACAAGATTCAAAGTCACAGCTCACAAAAATCATACAATTCCCAACAGACCACTTCATGAAGCAGTAAGATCCATATGTTTACTACTGTGATAGAAAAGAAATGTTTATTTGCTTGACTGGACCTCTTCTCTTTTTCGTGCTGGAAAAAAAAAGGTGGGGGGGGGGAGGACTGCCAAAGGCTAGAGAGCTAAACAAAATTCATCTTTATTCCAAACAAGCTCTCTACATGTAGCCTTTGCAATTTTTGACAAACTCCCTATTTCAAAACTGGTGGAAGCCCCCTTTCCTTCTCCCAGGTCATCAAGTCCCATCAGTCCTCCTGTGACACCCAGCTGGCCTCTCCATCCCCTCTCAATACTGACCTCACACCCCATGGACACCTGGTTGCATCTGCAATTACACGGCAGTCCCCATCTGCACATGCCTGCCAAATCTCCTTTGTAAACACTGACTTATGAACACCACACTATGCACAAAATGTCAGTGGTTCACTCTTCTTTTTAAGGCAAAATGTTACTTAGATATTTTGAAGGAGACTTCTATCCCTGAATAAGGATATCTAATTCATTATATATGGAGGCCAGGAAAATAAGCTAGGAACTGAGTAGGTGTAAGACCAGGGGGCAACAGCCAGGCTTATGGCAATTTAAGTGTGTGCCACCTAAAGCCATTCAAATTCAAGTTAACTACTATTTTATACAGACAGATTAAGATTATAAATTTTCTAATTATTATGAAGAAATCTACACGGCTCTTTGGTCCTAGGCCCAATTATTTTCACACTTTGGGCATTTACAGAAGTACCAAGATTATGTTTCCAAGACTTTCATCATAAGCCCAATTTTGTCATCTGTAAATGGTTAAAAACAGTACTTACCTTACAAGGCATAAACGAAAGGAGTATTTCTCAAATATTATTGAGGCATTAATGAGGAATAAATGAAACCGTGAATGTAAAGTGCCTAACCTATGCCTGCATATGGTAAATACTTAACAGATACCTTTTCTGAAGCAATTACACAAATTGTCTCTATTGTAGTCCCTAATAAGCTCCAATCAATTATAAACCTCTCCACATTTTCAACTGTTTAACTTATTATTTCCTCTACACCAAGGAGTAGCAAAGTTTGTGAAACCTATCTCCTAAATACAAATTTATATGAGATCTGTAGCTCACCATAAGTGCCTTAGTTCAATCCCTCATCAATTTTTGCCAGGATCATTATACAGTCTGTATTAAATATTTAGTTACTGCAATTCATTCTGAAAGATGAACTCCTCAGATCAGGAGGAGAGGAGAGTGACAGAAACAGGTAGGCATGGGGCTTGCATTCTGAGAGAGAAAAGCAATACACAGAGATGTGGGCCCCCCAGGGATCAGCCTTTTTGAGAAGTGTAGGGCTGTTAGCAAGAACAAACACTGAGTATCTAGACAAGGAGGAAGGACCAGTCTGGGCCGGGTCCTGGACTTCTGCATTGGCCACAGAAAGGGTTTTTTAGAGCAAAGTGGAAGGATCATGCCTGTGTTTTAGAATGACCACTCACTTGGTGCAATGGCAGAGGGAAGCACAAAGGTAACAGGTAAGAACTCTATCCATAGGGAGCTGAACACCTTGTTATGGAGTCAAAGTACAAAGTACTAAATAAGCCCGTAAAATGGTAAGATTTAAATTATGGAGAGAAGTGTTAAAGATTACAGCTATTAGGAAGGAACGCGTCACAGATGAGCGAAGAAAGCCCTAACCAAGAAATGGGCCACAAGGTGGTCCTGAAGGGTGTGCAGGATATAAATAGGCAGAGAAGAGAGGATGACACTCCAGGTGGGATAAACTGTTCAGACTATTTTGAATCAAATCCCAGACGAGCATGATAATAATTAGGCACTCATCCTGTTCTGGGCAAATCTACAGGGACAGAGAAACAGAAGGCAGCCAGCATTACAATAGTATTCCTGGAACTTGATAAACATAAAGCCGGCCAACAATATTATGGAAAATAGTGAAGGGCAACTAAAAAGAAAGACAAATAAGCACTCAAGATGACCTTACATTTTTAAAAGCCCTGCAAAACCTTCCCCGTAACTGAAGCCACAGGGCCACTTCAAAAGCAGAGATGGAGTCTCTTCATTCAGGGTCAAAAGTTCAAACTCTGAGCTCTGCTGAAGACACTGGAAAGGGCTGCTGGTGTGCAGCTTTATGCTCCCTTAGACCAGAGGGCAGTAAAAGAGCAGGGACCACACAGACCCACGGCTTTGGCCCCAGACCTGTTAATACATACAAGTCATACTCCTTTAGCAGCAGACTGGTTCTCTGAGGCTCAGGGTGAGGTTGGTGACCTCTCCCCACCTGCAGCATCACCGTTCTCACTCCTTTGGTATTTCTTTCTCCCTCAACTTATTCTTCTCAACTGCCCTTGCTCCTGTAGTCCTTCCCAATTTACTGATATGACAAAGGAAACAGATGCACACAACTAAAGCTACTAATCGTGAATTCTGCATGGAGTCTTAGGCCTGTTATAGCATTAATTCCCTTGATCCTTATAGCAACCCTCTGAGGCACGTGGTCCTTATCCTCATTCTGTAGATGAGAAACTGACGTACAGAGGGTAAACAGTGGAACCAGCCACACAGCCAGGAAGCATACAGTTGGGATTTCAACTCAGGCAATCTGGATCCAGAGTGGAAATACTTAACCAAATGCAATTCTGCTTCTCATGTCGAAATGCTACTTTGTTCTTCTAACATTCCTAGTTCTCACTAAAGATTGTAAGGTAGAATGTAAGCATACTGTTGCTATTAATTATGGTGGATTCTGAACCCAGGCCAATAAAAAATCACTCAGTCGCTAACAACTGAAACAGTGGTCGGCCAGTTCATAGTTCACAGAAAGATGCTTTAGAACCAAGAATCTTCCTTTACTAGGACAATTAGCACTTTTTTCAAAAGACTTGGCCCCTGGGGTGCCTGGGTGGCTCAGGGAGTTAAGCCTCTGCCTTTGGCTCAGGTCATGATCTCAGGGTACTGGGATCAAGCCCCACATCAGGATCTCCACTCATCAGGGAGCTTGCTTGCCCCCTTCTCTCTCTCTCTGCCTGCCTTTCTGCCTACTTGTGATCTCTGTCAAATAAATAAAACCTTTAAAAAAAAAAAAAAAAAAGACTTAGCCCCATGTCATTCCAAGTCAAGAGATCTGGATATGAGTTCTGGCCTGTCACTTATCAGCTGAGTAATCTATTTACAGGAAAAATCTTATAATCTGAACGGATTATAGGTTTTTTAAAAATACTGGAAATATGGAAATATTAAGAATATTTACTCTATCACATTATAGGAAGACTAGGGGTCAAATCATATATATGTAAAAGTGCTTGGCAAAATGATAAACAAAAAACAAAACTCATTTTATTATGAAGGTATAATCAACTCTTAATTAGGATAGGTGTCAGAAACAGGGAAAAACATCTATGACCTTCTCCATTCAAGTAAGTTTTCATGCCAGAAGCAGAGGAGGTACCTGGGATAAATACCAAGAGAAGATGATTCGAAGAACCATGGGAAGTTTATAGAAAAGCATTGCGTTTCTGGGAATGAGTACTGCACAGGCTAGTGTCAAACAGTTGCTGATGTAGGTCAGGGCAGCTTAAGACATATGTAAATGGAACAGTTGGTACAAAAAGCTACAATAAGAGAAATTTATAAATAAATTTAAGTCTTGTAATTCCCAATCTTAAGACTTCTTAGATAACCTAAGAGATCACATAAAAAGCTTAGTTATGGATGTCAGGGGAAACTGGGCCTCGGCCCTCAACACTGTGCACCTGTCCTTATAGTATGCCACAAAAACAAGAGGCATTCCCAGAGATCAACCATAAAACGTATTTCTTCACCTCTAAAAGTATGTGTGCGTGTGTATGCACTTTATATAGCCCCTCCTATAAAACTTTTTTTGGTCAATGATCCCATGTTAATCATTTCATTCAGTTCATGGTTAACTAAAACAGTATCTCACTATACAGACTAGATACATTCCTGAAATCATTTTTGGGCAAACAAACATTTTCCTATTCCCTAGTTGTCCTACCTCCTAAGAGCATATTATATTTTCCAGTTATCCTGATTACAACACAAAGAAGACATGTAGGTGGTAAAAGGGGGAGAAACGTCTTAATCCTCAACTTGACAATAGCAGGTTCATAATCCACCAGGTACATGTATCTCAATCAAGAAAGCAGGAACAATTCTCATATTTCTGGAAAAGATGCCAATAAATGTTCTTGGGACCATATGCTAAATTTATTTCACCATTTTCCAAAATTCAGGAAGGACAAATTTCTGTTGTCAATCATCTGAATCAACAACATTCCACTAAGTGACTTTCGTGACTTGCCTGCCACTCTCAGAAGCACCAAGTCCTGCCATGTTTACTGGGCGCCAATTCTACATCAGGTGGCCGGCGTACACATCTTCCTTTGATCTCCACGACAGCCCTGAGAGGGCACTATTACAGTCTCAGCTTTACAGATAAGGAAAGGGTGAGGGATGTTGAGCAACAGGACCCAGGGACATTTCTACTAAACAAAAGATTTGAATCCAGGTTTTGAATCCAATTCAAATTCAATTCTGGATTTGAATTTGAATCAAATCCAAATCCAATTCAAATCCAGGATCTGAATCCAGGTTAGCTTGATTGTAAAGCTCTCTCTTCATGTTCTCTTCAATCCTCATATATCGACCTGAACTTCAAAATCCTTTGCTTCTAGGTTTTCTCAAGGGTCCTCAGAGAGCTACCACATGTAGGAAACACAATGTAAACCCTATGGTTATGACTATATACTATTTTAGATACTTTCGAAATGTATGTGCAGCCCCAAACTTCAAATCTAATGACAAAAAAATAATTCTGAAAATCAGCAATATAAGGTCCAATCTTTTGGGCATGAAGAGTCTTACATTGATATTTTCTAACTGCAGTAGATGTACTGTATAATATGACTTCACATCTTCTGACAAGAACTTCACACTGAATCCTGTTTCTTTAAACAGCATCTCTCGATCATCTTTTGTCGGCCAGTACTGTGCACATTTAACCTAAATTTAAGGATATGTAGATATTAGTTCATAGACATTATGGAACTCTAAAAAGCTGGGAATGGAAGACAAACCACACACATACATATTATATTTTTTTCAAGTACCCAAATCTACGAACAACTGTACTACATTTGATGATCAATGTATTTTAATAAGATTGCCAATTTATAAAAGCAGGTCTGTTAAATGTTACTATGACTTATAGTAAAAAAAAGCCATCAACAGATACGTTCATAAAAGTGAATCTGTCATTTCTAAAGCATGATAACCTATATTTTAACATCATACTGGCATTCACTTTACATTTCTAAAATTATCAACCCCTTGAAAGAATCTTTTCTTCAAACAGTATTGAAAAGGTTTTATTTTACAAGTATTTTCTACAAATACCTATGAATCTGCTACCAAGTACTACTTACCTAGAAATAACAAAATTAAGTCAGGGGAATGAATCATAATATAAGTCTCCTTAGGGGCGCCTGGGTGGCTCAGTCAGTTAAGCATTGGACTTTGGCTCAGGTCATGATCTCAGTCAGGGTCCTGGGAAAGAGCCCCCTGTCTCAGGGCTCCCACTCAGCAGGGAGCATGCTTATCTCTCTCCCTCTTCCCCTCCTCTTGATTATGCTCTCTCCCTTTCTCTAATAAATAGCATCTTTAAAAAAAGAATAAGAAGATAAGCCCCCTTTATCTAGAGTTAGTATATTTTGGCAGAGCTACTAATATGGAATTCCTATTTGTGACAATAAAAGCAACTTCCCAAAAGCCAAATTATGTGGCAAGGTGAGATAAAGAGCCACTTCATTAGGGGGAAAAAAAAACCCACAAAAATATCCTTATAAAATATGGTCATTTCTTCTTTTCCAAATCACAAACAGTAACAACACCTCCAAACAAATAATTACTATAAGCTGATACTTCCAAGGGTGCTAAAAGACATTTTAAATATGATCCAAGAGGTGAAAGAGTGTAAGTGAGAACAACTCAGAAATGCAGTGATAGGAAACAGAAAAAAATTAGGAATCAAAGAACACATCATTTCAGAAAGGAAGACTAAACTAAAAGGAACAGAGGCATGAATAAACACATCAGATAATGTCCTAGGAAAACAAGAAGAGGAAAAGGAAGACATTTCTTAAATAAAAAAGAAATGGAGCGAAAGACAGGAGTTAAGAGAAAGAGACAAATATAAAAATAAGCAAAGAAAATCTAGTGTGTATCACGGGAGGACCCAAAGAAGAACACTAAAGCAAGCAAAGAGTAAATACTAACAAGTAAAATGAATACAATTTAAAGAACATACTATGCATCTGGAAAAACTGACCCAGACTAACCAACATTTAAGACATATTTTGGTAAAATTAACGGGATTTGAAGGAAAAAAAAAAAAAGCTTTTGGGTAACCTAGATAAAAAAGAACACATGACTTACAAAGGAAATAAAATCAGATATCCAATTAACTTTGTCAGTAATCTGTAATGCCAAAAGGAAATGGGAGTAATGTATTTAAGCTGCTCAAAGAAAAGCAAATGTGAGCCAAGATTTTATATCCTGCCAAAGTGACTTTTAAGCATTAGGACAGCACAGTAAACTCTCATCGACAGGTAAGAAATCAGGAACTATAATGCCCATGAGTTCCCTCTTTAGTATGCACTACAGAATGAGCTATCTACAGAACGACTGGAGAGACAGCAGTAAGACCAACTGTGTAAATTAAATATATATTTATATGTAGAACTAAGATTTTACAAGGGATATAAGACAGAGACCACAGTATAGGTAGGATGTTATATACTCTGACAATGTAGGTAAAGTACAACTTAAAAACAGAACGAGATGGGAAAAACATAAAAAATCTAAAACTTATTCAGTAATTATTTTGGTGATGGAGTTGATACTCTTATTATGAGTATTTTTGGTGTTTAACATGGGACAAAGTAAATGAGTCATTATGAAATATTCTTTATCCGTTGTGTCTTTGAGAAGCTGGATTCATGGTATGGAAAAAGGAGGCAACTGATACAAGATGGAAAGCGTTAAGCCATCCCCCTACCGTTCTAAATTTGAATTGAAGTATCAGTATGAACCCTTGAGGTATGTTATCTAACACACAAACACATATTTTCCTTAGCTCTGTTCACTAAAAAGCTCTAAAAACAATGATCAACCCAGCATCAGTAAACATTCCTATTTTTACTGTCATCTTGAAATACCATTGTCCAATAAAAGAAACCAAGGTTCCTTAGAAAAATGGCCGATTCTATGAAGAAGAGGTTAAGGAGTCATTCCAGACAGTAAGAAAATTATTAAAGACTCTTTGGTTTTATCTCTTAGATTTCTGACTCAGAGCCCAACTTGCAGAGACTCCTGCTAGCTAACAGAGAAATAATTCAACTACTAAGACATATAATAACTGCAATGGAGTAAAGTACATCATATATGATTAAATCTAGGAGTTCATAATGACTGATCCCTTCCTGCCCCTGTCCCCACACCAAAAAAATCTAACTGGTCACCTGTTGAGACACTAGGGAATCAACTATTTTGAAAACTGCTTTCCTATATAAAAGTGGTCAACTAACTAGAAGGGAAGTTTCTTTTTTTCTTTCTTTTTTTGTTAATTTGGTAGAGAAGGGGGGTGGGGGAGGGAGAGGAAGAGGGAGAGAGAAACTTAAGCAGACTCTGTGCTGAGGGCAGAGCCCAACATGGGGCTTGATCCCAAAACCCTGAGATCACAACATAAGCCTAAACCAAGAGTCAGGCGCTTAACTGACTCTGCCCCTAGGCACTTTGAAAGTTTCTTTCTATAGAAGTATTCCAACAAAAATTTAAGAGGGAATGATAAAATTGGAGTATCACTATTTTGTAACCCTTAACTAAATAAGGAACTAAGCACTGACCAGCAATGTCTGCTAACAGCATAAAAAGAAAGATAATCAGACATTAGGAGCCTCTTCGTAAACAAAGCAATATCACCCATGAAATAATCTTCCCCAGAATTATTAAACTTGAATCTTATGAGGCATCTAGTCCCAACCACCATAAATATGATCTCTAATTTCTAGTGGCACTCTTATCTTATGAATATAGTAATTATACTCCAAAAGGAGAGATGAAACTTACACTACTTTGCAATGCTGCTCATATTGTTCAAACAATGTCATCATCACTTAATTTTTAAGTCACACTGGAAGCCATGAAAAAACCACTGTAAACAACTATGCTAACATTGCTAGACATTCTGGTATGTGAATGCCACTTAGGATTAGAAAGAGAGTACAATAATTTGTACCACCATCGAAAGCCACCAAATATTAATTTAGATAAAAGTAAGAATCAGGAATCTGAAGAAGATCTTAGGCTTGAAGAGACCTTACTGACAATACTTTCCAATTTGTTTCTTTGACAGAAAAAGAACCTAAAAGTGCAAAAGTTAAAAGATTTAACTAATTAGCACTGTGTTTAGACAGTACCTCAAGTTTCAATAAATTTATACATTCCCAAACTTATGGTCTCATGACCTAAAAGCCAATAAAAATTCACATAGGTTAACAAAAATCTGTCACTTAAATCTTTTACAAACTTTTCAAGATTTTGATGATAATAAATTATAAAAATTCTAATAAAGCCTAGGGAGTCCAAAGCTCTATGTCACCACTGGTCAATATGTGTTTCACTATATTTACATCTTGGAGAGTAGTGGTGTACAACTATTATTTAAATACTTAAGGCAAGAAAGGAAAAGGATATACTACTTCTGGTCAGGAATACCCTGACCAGAGCCTTTAGCAATTCAAGGCCAAAACCAATAAATTAATGAATATCCCCAAAGAAATATAAAAACATTTATAAGCTAATGATACAGGCAGTACACTAAGTTGTAAATACTAAGTATTACTCACCGATTCCTTCTCCACAACTCGGTTTAGCATGACAACTGCTTTGGTTTTTTGCTGCCAAACCATGAGCCAGAAATGGCAACCTGTATTAGGAAGTGGACCCTGTAAGAACAGAGAAGAAAAAGGAGGTAAGAGAAAGGAGATGGAACAAGGTTCAAGGAAAATTCCTTCAAGTATGCTTCTGGTTTAAGAACAATGTACTGAATCATAATAGGTAAATCATGACTTTAAATCCGCTAGAGTTAAAAAAATCGGTCTGTACTAGTTGCTTATAAATGATCAAAACTGACTTTTATTGACTTAGGCCAAAAAGGAATTTTTTAGGTTATCAGCTGACTTTCAGAGTTGAGGGCTGGAAAGCCAGGCTTCAGTGGGAACCAACGTCAAGGCAAGATTCTGCTCAAAGGAGTCCACCTGGGACAGTGCTCCTGACCCTGGCACTACCATCACTTCACTTTGCTGGCATCGCCATACGAAGGTGGCTATAGCAATCACGCATAACCTTTCAACAAACCAGAGTCAAAATATGGACAGGAATATCTGACTGGTCATGTTCTAGCTGCAAAGAAAATTTCTGTCCCTTTCAGCTTTCATAGCAGGAAGAGGCCTTGCCTGCCATGGATCATGGCAGTCCTACGAAAGAGGAAATCAGTACCATCACTGGCCAACCAACCACCCCAAGTGAACCAGAAAAAGATTTCCAGAAAAAGCAGAAATTTCAAAGTGCCTGTAGCTGTTGATCTACAAAACCACAGCATGTGCGACCTCAATAGAAGACTTAAAAGAGGCAATGGTTCATATTATGGGGGGGGGGGGTTCAAATCCAATTATCTTCACATTTTTACTTAATGGGAACACAGGGCAGCAGAAGAAAGGGCAAATAAGAGATGAAAAGGCCAGGGTCAAATTATAACTTATTTTACAGGTGAAAATGAATGAGGCTCTCCTGCAACTAACGGCCGAGTCAGCAAGCACTCTCCTCACAGGGCAGAGGGAGGGGCAGCTTCAGGGGCTGGAGGCCAGGTCTCCTGGAACTTTAGCTTCCCATGACAAACAAGGTGATTCACGTGGTTTGAGGCTGAAAGCATCTTTTACGCAGTTGTATTCCCTGGTTTATAGCAGATTCCTTATTAATATTATTTAAATTAATAAACTCTAAGCTTCTAAGTTATAAAAAGGCCAGAAATCCACTCAGAATCTCGAGTAATGACAACCAAATGTTTGAAGATACTGTTCTCCTCACTCAATGTGTATTATCTATTACTTGATCTACTTCTTTAAAACAAAACGAAGTAAGAAAATCACCAGTTAAAATGAATGCCTTTTCTTTCATTTAGAAAAATGGATCTATCCATTCACCAGAGAAATCATTCCTTAGTGTGTATACATATGGAAACACAAAACACATTCTGTCAGTGGTTCTAAGGTCGTAGTGTGGGTTATTTCTCAGCTCTTCCACCTACAAGCAATACTAACAGTTTTTGTTGTTTGTTTGTTTTTTGCGAAGTGGAGATTTACAGCAAGGAATGATTATATATATATATAATTTTTTTTTTTTAATTCAGAGGAGGGGTGCCTGGGTGGCTCAATCAATTAAGCATCTGTCCTTAGCTTAGGTCATGGTTCCAGGGTCCTGGGATCGAGCCCCGCAGCAGGCTCCCTGAAGCAGGTGGGAAGCCGGCTTCTCCCTCTCCCACTCCCCCTGCCTGTGTTAGCTCTCTCACTGTGTCTCTCTCTGTCAAATAAATAAAATCTTTAAAAAAAATTTTTTTTACAGAGGAAAAAGGTGACGAAAAGAAGCAACAAACGACAATTAGAATAGCTAAGGTTTTAACAAACATTCAGCATCTCTAGTTTTGTGTCCTATAAAATATCCCCAGCCTTCGAAGAGCTTACTAAGAGGCAAGGAGAAGTCCTTGTTCTACTAACTGAAACATATCAAGCACCACAAGAGTAAGGGGTAAACCATCAGATCTTCCCAAGTAGGGGGGACGGTACAACAGAGCCTTAAAAATGAGGAGGGAACTGATATAGGGAGGCATCGTAGAAGGACAGGGAGCAAGCCAGGGTCCATTCCAAGAATAAGACAAGGTACGTGCAAGTATAGGGTACATTTGGGAGAGACAAAGAAATCAATGAGGGCAAAGTATAGGTAAGTATACAGTAGAAAACCACACCTGTAGAGTGTGGAGGGTCTTGAATGCAGGAAACAGTCACCAAACTTTTTAAGAAGTAAAGTGATATGATCAGATTTGTATGTTACAAAAATAACTGGAGGCATTGCTAAAAAGACAGGTTAGGAAGGGAGGGACTGGTAGCGAGGAAATAAATTAAAAAACAATTGCATTAGGATTCGGTAGAAGGTGAGCATAGCTTTCACCCAGGTGGGAAAAACAGGAAGCGAGCTGGCTTGGTTTAAAAAAAGAAAAAAAGAAAGAAAAAGAAAAAGAGTTAGATGTAGAAAATACAGAATTTGTGATGTAAATGAGTCATCTGGATAAAAATATCCAGTGAAGACCTGGGGGATAATTATAATAATATACGGGGGAAATTCAGGAAAGAATAAAAAAGCTAAAGACAGCCTTCTGAGTCCTCCAGCGCTAAATGCGGGGAGCTCTATCAGGACACACAGCACAGTCCAATAGGACAGGGCACTTAAACACAATTTGTAGGCATTTTTCTTTATCACGATGGGATTTACAATATTTTATAAGAGAACTATTACTACTACTATTACTACTAATAATAAAAAGCAGTAACACATGCCACAATGAATAATCCATGGAGGGCTTACCACAGTACCAGGAACTATAAAAATTTCTCTTCGCACTGTTTCAGAGATAATATAGGTAGACATCTATAATATAGATATATACACATAGGCTTGGGGAGTTAGGTAGCTTGTCCAAAGTCACACAGCAATCTTATGGTAGGAGAGCTGAATGATTAAGAACATGACCCATGGAGCCAAAGGGACTTCAAATCTGGCTTCAACTCACTTGTTGCACGGGCTTGGTAAAGTTGTTTAATGTTCCTGGTCTCTTTAGATAATTCCTCGTGCATAAAACCAGTGTTTACCAGAGAGTTATTTTGAACCTTAAATTATACAAAACACATAAAGTATAGAATAAGGTTACAAAATTGCTAGCTGTTACTAATTTTATTTCCTACTATGATGTAAAAATAAAGTTCCTAACAACAATGTTTTATGTAATGTCTATTTAATTTTTTAAAAAGATTTTAAGAGGGGGGAGTTGGAGAGGGAAAAAAAGAGAATCTCAAGCAGATGCCATGCTCAGCATGGAGCCCAACGTGGAGCTGGAGTCAGATGCTTAACTGACTGAGCCACTCAGGTGCCCCACTGCCCGTTTTATTTAAATAATGCCTACCACACAGTAGATACTCAATAAATCTTTGTCAGATGAATGAATACCTAATGAAGTAGTTGGACAGGATTTGGGCACAGATGCTGTGAATCCAGTGTCTATATTCTCTTAAAATATAAAGGTTGAACGCACAGTTTCCGAGAGTTGAAGTCTCAGATGTAGACTGAAAGGGGGGAATAAACTCCTAAATCAGAAACCTGAGAAGCACCTACAAAATTTAGGATTATGATGAGAAAAAAAGAACAAATAAAACTGGGGAAAAAGGGAGAGAAAGAGAGAGAGAGAGAGAGAAAGAAAGATGTGAGAAGGGATCTAGGGTAATTATTCTTTTCTATTTTTGAACATGATAGGTTTTTTTCAAACAGAAAGTAAACTTCTAAAAAATGAGTTTGTTAAAAATGTCATAAATCCTCATAAGAAAAACTCCAAATATTACAAAAAGGCAGAAAACAATAAAGTTTGATTATTCCTAATTCTTAGAAATAACCAATATTAATGCTGTATGTGTAATATATTTAGCCAATCCCTCACAGATTATTTCTGTCCTATTATTTCTGGTCCTGTGCTATTAAAACTAAGTTGCAATAAACACCTTCACATATATCTTTATGTCTGTACATATTTAACTACTGAGTATTATAAACTTTTAAATCTCTGCTATTTTCACTGGTAAAAAATGAGAGGTGGCCACTGGTTTAAAATTATATTCCCTAATGAGTAGAAAAATTATGTATCTTTTCACAGGTATATTGTCTACCCTTATATTCTGCCTTGAACTGTGATTTTATGTTCTTGCCATTTTTAAAAACAGTTTCTCTCTCTCTCTCTTTTTTAAACATATAGCAGCTACTTTAAGTAAAATGAAGTAATTATTTTTCATTTCCTGTCAATCAGAAATAGTCCAATAGAATATCTTTTTACAATATGAAACGGTTGTCTCTTTCAATAACAGGTTATTCTGACCCAAATTTTTAAAAAGCTCAAATATTACAAACATATACCTTATCTTTTGAATTTAAAAATCATTAACTGGGGGATATAACAGCACTACTCATTAAGTCTCTTGTCATTTGATAAAGAGTAGCTGGTGTGGATAAACCAAAATAATTTCTATTTTCAAACAATGAAAGAGTACTAGTGCTGGAATATGGGTGCGGCCAATGTGCCAAGAAGCAACTGGGCAGAATGCCACAAGGAACCCTCATGCTTTCTGGCCTCCCAGCCAATATTCGGGGCACCTGGTCTTACTACCCTCACTCTGAGCAAAGGCCAGACATCATCAAAGGCATGTTCATATTCTCTGAAAACGTATGCCAGAGAAAGGGGTTGAGAAGGGCTTTTGGTTATGATAGAGATTATGTGAAGAGAACTTAACAAAACATTAACAAACATTTTGTATCAGTATAAAGCAAGGAAGATAATTTGCCTTAAAAGAACTAGTGTAAGCCATTCATTAAAGAAATTTCCTTTTTATAAATAACTTTAATTTCATGTTCACGTACATACCTGCAAAACACCGAGGTATCTACATTTTACTACATAATGACAGAAAAAACTGAAATGGCATTTCATTTCCAAAAGAAGTAAAGACATCCTTTTAGCTATGTTTCAAAGCAGACCAACCACGGTAACTGCACTGCAAGGCATTTGCTTGACATCCATCCCATCACTTGCCTGTGTTAAGATGTAACTCCTTTGCGCCTCTTCTATATCAACTAAACTGGCATTTATATAATCATTTTCAGCATTTTGCAGCTTAACACGACTGTGATCATCTGAAACAGAGAATGATAAGCATAATTGTCATTTCAAACTTCTCACTTCTTTTTTACTTTAATAGTAATGTTCTGGGTACTTTTAAAATGAAAGAAGAAACAAAGAAAAATAAACTAGTACCACAGGAGAGTTGAGTCAAGTCCTAAATTATTCTCTTTTATATGAAGGAAGTATAAAAATGAAACTTGTTGTTCGTTACTGTGGTACTGGAAATGCTTTTGTTTGTAGTAGGTTAGCTACTGTAACAGAAAAATTAACCAAAGAGTAAAATATAGTAAAAGGAATAAAGCACCTACCGTCCTAAAAGTAAAAGATTCATTTAGAGTCTTGGTGCCTAAGAACTGATAGGTCTACCTACAAAAAAATCCAAAATGGCCTCAGATAGAGAAGACTGGATTTCCATGGTAGCTACTGTTCATCTTCTTCATTCAACTGATCTGCATTCAACTATATTAAATAATTTTCAGTACTTAATTGTATGTAAATTAAGTGTTAAAGATTTTAAAATACAGACGGAATTACTCTAATTCTTTTTCTTTCTTTCTTCTTCTTCTTTTTTTTTTTTTTTTAAAGTAGGCCCCATGCCTACTATGGGGCTTGAATTCACAAACCCAAGATTAAGAGTTGCATGCTCTACTGACTGGGACAGCCAGGCGACCTGGAATATTCTAATTCTTTACAGGACAACACAACAGATAAATAGATCTAGTTTAGATATATTTCTAGCGTTTAAAAGTAAAAATATCACCATCTTCAACAACATGGATGACCCTACAGGGTATTATACCAATTGAAGTAAGTCAGGCAAAAAAAGAAAAAAAAAAATGACTTCACTTATATGTGGAATCTTAAAAAATAAAACAAAAAACAAACACAGATGCATAAACCCAGAGAACAAAACCAGTGGCTGTCAGAGAGTAGGAGGGTGGGAAGATGAGCAAAACAGGCGAAGGGGATTAAGAGTTACAAACTTCTGGTTATGGGGCGCCTGGGTGGCTCAGTGGGTTAAAGCCTCTGCTTTCAGCTCAGGTCATGATCCCAGGGTCCTGGGATTGAGCCCCACATCGGGCTCTCTGCTCAGCAAGGAGCTGCTTTCCTTCCTCTCTCTCTGCCTGCCTCTCTGCCTACTTGTGATCTCTGTCAAATAAATTAAAACAAAACAAAACAAAACAAAAAACAAACTTCTGGTTGTAAGTAAATTCCCTGCATGAAAAGTACAGCATAGGGAATATAGTCCATAATATTCTAATAACTTTTCTATGGCGACAGATGGTAATTACACTTATTGTGGTAAGCATTTCAGAATGCATATAGACGCTGAATCATTATATTGTACACCTGAAAATAATATAATATTGTATGTCCTCTACACATCAATTTTTTAAAAACACGCCTCAAAATTAAGAAAATGTCATGAATGCTCATAAAAAAACCCCAAAATACAACCAAAACATTAAGATATGAAGAGTACCTATCAGTAAGAAATGAGAGACCTCTGTTTTTAAAAAGTGAACAAGGACAATACACAAAGACTAATACATTTGAATAACATTCATTAAAGAAATGCAAATTAAAATGAAAAGATAACTTTTTTTTAATTTCAAGATTTTTGGCAAATTTTTTTTTTAAATGATAATTCCCGGTGCTATCAAGGCCATATCTAGCCCCTTAGTAAGCAGTAGATGAAACTATAAGAGAACTTTCAGATGCCTCGTTTAGAGTAACAGGTATAAATCCTTTAAAATCCAAGGTTCCCATTTCTGCGAATGAAACCAACGCATATAGCCAGAGACAGACACAGGGATTAACAGTAACACACAAAAGGGGAAATAACATAAATTTCCAAAATGTACAACAATTACAGTATACATGAAAGATGTATTACTTTAATGGAGCCATTAAAAATCATGCTTTACGGTTAAAAAAAAGTAAAAATCTCACAGATTTAGAATTTATGCTGATTTAAATATGTAGACTACAAAATTTTACCTTGTTATCATTTTGATGAAAAAGGAGACGTTTTCTCAGGGAGAGAAAGTACATGCGTCGTAACACAGTTAACACTGGCTTAGTATCCTAAATACACAACTGTCAGAAGAATGTAACTGAATTATAAACTGAACACACTGGATTTTTAACTCTGGAGAATACCTTCAATTTAAACTGCTTTCCTGAAGGAAATTTATACTAAATATCCTTTTTCTCCCCACTTTTTAAACTTAAAATAAAACCTGTTTACATTATCTCCATATGAAAGAAAATGGTAAATGGCTACAGTTTCACACATCAATTTACCTGAGATGTTTCTGCTGGACTGAACCCAAGACCTCTGTAAATATTACATGTCATTTGCCAACAGGAAAAACTAAGATCTTGTTATAGTAAATCACTTATACTAGTGTTCTCGGAAAGATGATGTCAGCAAGCATTTTTTTTTTTTTAAACAGTCACTTTTTTTTTTTTAACAGCTTAATCACCCTTTAACAGTTAAATTACAGGAGCTGGTAAAAAGGTCAGCTACCTAATTAGCAAAACAAAGACCATATATCTCCTAGATAACACTAGATAAAGCAGGAGAATGTCCCCTTGTAGAATGCCACACCATCCCTAAAATTCGTGTTCCACTAGAATAGAATACCAAAGGAATGTATTTCCTCATGTTGTAATCACAGAAAGAACCCAAACCCCAAAGGTTAATCCTATCTATTGCACAAGTGAAAAAAGCAATTTGGCCAACAGAAGCAAGAATCCATAAAAACCGGGAAAGTTCCTCTCCAGGGCGCTGGAAATGAAGTTATCTTGCAGGTGGCCATCTGAAGTTCTGCAGAGAAGGAACCCAGAGAAAGACCTTTGGCAGTTTATACCCTGCCCTCAGGACCTTGAACTAGAATTCAGTTTTTTCCCCTCTAGCTTTAAAATCTACACCAGCAGTCACTCCAATACATTGAAAACACTGAATCACACAGTGGTAAAAGCACAAATACATTTCCTGGAGCCCCAGGGTCTGACCAAAGGGAGCAGAGTGCTACCTAAAAGTCACCCAGGGTCCTGCAGAGTCTGGCCCCAAATGGTGGCCTTGCTTCCCTCTCACATTTATTTATACAGTCAACAAAAGCAAAGGAACACTGACAATTTTCTCAGGAAAAAATTTTTAAATTTTGCCAGCAGATTAAGACCAAAAAATGAAGGTACTCCTTGGGAAAACTCTCTAGCTACTTAGAACTGGCTACAGATGTTGGTTGAACCTATATTTTCATCTCACGACTAATTAGAAACAAAACTCTGTAATTCACCTACATTATCAGAAATTTATTTTAATTCTTCTGCTTTATTAAGAAGATTAATAAAAACTTTAAAGCATATTTAACATTCTGATTCCATAGGGGAAAAAAGAGAGTTTCTAGTGTTAACTAAAATATATCATGTTAAAACTATCTACAAAGATAGTAACTTAGTAACTATACAGTACATTTCAGGAAGTGAAACTATCAAAGCCTTTTTATGAGATTGTGACTTTATGATTTATATTCTCTAGCAAAGATAACAGACAATGGATTGTCTCCAATTAGGAATCATCACTTCATTTATGGCTTAAAATATCTGTGAGAGCAGACACAGGTCCCCTCACAACCTGGGAGTCAAACGTCCCCTTTCTCCCTGCCCTATTACTATCAATCAGTCCAAAACCTGTGAAGTGTTCATTTCAAAACAGAGTTCTGACTTCTGAATTAGTATAAAATAAAAATAAAAACACTAGAAAGTTAAATGCTTTCTCCTCTGCCAGAGTTTATTCTGCCCAGAAACCTCTGAAATGAGATTATTAAAGAGTCCTATAACCCCTGGGCTCTGAGTATTAAGCCCCAAAGACCCCAGTACTTTACTATCATTCTAAGTAAGGATATGGTTATCTCCCTATTTCCTTTTTTTTTTTTGGAAGATTTTATTTATTTGACAGACAGAGATCACAAGTAGGCAGAGAGGCAGGCAAGAGAGAGAGGAAGGGAAGCAGGCTCCCTGCCGAGCAGAGAGCCCGATGATGCGGGGCTCCATCCCAGGACCCTGAGATCAAGACCTGAGCTGAAGGCAGAGGCTTAACCCACTGAGCCACCCAGGCGCCCCCCTCTTTCCTATTTTTAAAAAAATCCAGAAAAGGGAGAAAAATGAAGACAGTTCAAACTACACTACATGAGATACCCAAAAGTAATCACAGGAAATCTTATTTCTCAACATCTAATACTACCAAAAGCTAAACTATCAAGAATGTATATATGTACATATATATATTTTTTTTAATGGGGGCACATCTGTTCTTAATTCTTGTCACCAAGTGAATGAAGAAATGCAATATCCAATAGAATTGTAGCTTGTAAATTGGATAAACATTGAGCAAACTTCTGATGAATATTCCCTTCACCTCCCACCCTCAAACAGTATGTTTTCTGAGAAATGGTTTCATCTGTCAAGAAATGACGCTCTAGTTGTGGCCTGAGCTGACAATACAGATTAGCTTCCTCTTTCAATAATGTCACAATAAGCCTTTTTTTTTTTTTTTTTAAATCACCCCCTGCCCCCTTCACTGGTTCACCTTTTATCGTTATTGTAAAAAGATCTCCTTTTTGAAAAGTCTTCCAGGTCAAATAGGAAAAAGGATTCACACTCATAACCATCCTCCTAGGTTATACCAAGGCAGAGATAAACAATCATAATCATCAACTGGGCAAGGAGAAGACCAGTTCCATTAGTACAGCAGTGAAAGACTTTCCCCTTTAATTCTTCTGTTCTCAACCAGAGGGAAACCATAAGTTTTCAAAGACTAATGTCTATATTTTATATGTTACCTCCCTGCAAGAATGCAAAGCATTTCATGGATATATTGACCCTCTTTGACTCTGCAAGTTAAATATGTGAGGCATAAATATTATTAATTTTCTCTCTTGAATCAAGCAATGAGCCAAAAGCAAAGCTAGAACTAAAATCCAAGTCACCATACATGCACGAC